CTTCTTTCATTTGCAATCTTCAAATAGATTTTTTTTACATTCCGAATCGAAAACCCGTGGGCACCTAGATATATATTTCAAGAATGTTTACTATATCAGCCAATCAGAAGYGTTATTGTTATCTTTCCGTTATCTTGTGGTTAGAAAGTCAATTCTGATTGGCCAAAGAAGAATAGAACATTCCTAAAATATTTCTAGATGCCCACGGTTTTCAATTCGCACTGTAAACTTTATGGGAAAACATACATTCGAAAACAAAATTGATTTTTTTTTTTTGAATATCTATAAAACGAATTATGTAAGAGTACGGTTTAAAAATTGCATCGGAATCCACGGAAATTGTATCAAAACCTTARTTTGAATTGAACATGAACCCTTCGACAATACTTTCAATACTGYTTCTGCATAAAGTGAATATTTGATTGGTAAAATGAGTAAAATAATGATGCTTTTTAAATACTGTTTCACGTCACACTTATTAGCATATTGGAAGTATAAACCTTCATAACTTARAGACGCATCACTCAAATCAAGAAATATTTTACCATTCAACTATTTACTTCATGTAGAATCAGTACTGAAAGTATTGTCGAAGGGTTCATGTGCATTTTAAGGGTTTTAGTTTATTTATACAACATTAGCTCGCAAGCGCATATATAATCAACATTTCTTTGTCATCTTTAAAATAATAATTCTTAGCTGCTTGCCTTTCTACTGAAAGAAGGTTAGCAGAATAAAAAAGCATTTGTACCTCAATATCCACGATTCTTATGTAGTAAGATCTGGTGGTCCCATCTTTGACAAGACAGCTGACACCCACACCAAATTTGACCCATGTTGTTCTGTCTGGTTCAGGCGCCAAAAGGAGTTGGACGATTGCTGTACTGATAGACTGGGATATGTAATGAAAAGACTAATGAAAAGGTAATCCATTTTTAGGTATTTCTACAAGCATTTGCTACAATAGGTAAAACATGTTGGGTTAGCCACGTTTTGGACACACGGTTTAACATTGCACGCAGCATGACTGTTGTTGCGTGTGTCTACCCCTAAAACTTGTTGCACGCAAAATTGCATGCAACAAATCTGAAGTTGAATGGCGCTCTACCCTTGCAACATTGCGCGCAACAAATTTTATCGTGTGAACATGGCTGCAACATTACCTACAACGTTTTGATAATTCCAGCCAATCGGCTTGCACTAAATTTATAACCGCTGACTAAATTTCTGAACATAGCAGGCTGAAACTAGCGATGTTGCATGATTTTGTTGCAACGTATGTCACCCCGATTCAAATTTGTTGTGTGCAATGTCTGCCGTTATAATCTCTCGACTCTCGTTATAATTTACCGCCATGACTCGAGCTGCAATTAAAGTAAAGTAAAGAAAAGTATACTGTCTTTCTACAAAAAGAGATGAATTGGCTACGATACGTAAAACAAGTTGGTGTAGCCTGGCTTTGGCTTCTAAAAGACTTTCGTTATAATTTACCGAGATGACTCGAGCTGCAATTCACAATGCAAAGTAAAGAAAAGTATACTGTCTTTCTACAAAAAGAGATGTATTGCCTACAAATTAATAGGTAAGACTTACATATCTTTTGTTTCCKAGAATCTCTCTCACCGTGTTGTTTTCCTCCTCCGACAAAAGACACGACTGCGCATGCTTAGACGCAGCGGTCGTCATTTTCTATCAACTCTGTTTTCCTCGCTTCTCTGTACTCGTTGAAMCAGCATACGARTGATACCAGGATTGGTTGTGCCGGCATTATGACGTCGGGATATGTATTACGTGTGGTACTGAGCGCGCGCACCGTACTCTTAGACCTAGGGCAAACGTCGAACTTTCCAATGCACCGAGCTTAATTACATCAAAGAATGCCGCCTCATTATCACCTGATATCCATTGTTTTTAATGAGTTCGGTGCATGGAAAGTTCGACGTTTACCCTAGGCCTTAGGCACTTCTGATCTGTAGGTCGACTTTTTTTTYCGTACGTTTCTGCGCATACTCGTCAGCACATTTTTGCAATCAGTTTTCGTTTAGTCTTCGGTAGGACKTTTTTAGAATTAAAAGACTTGCAATGSTTTTTTTTTACAACGATCGCGCGARGAAAGRGATTSCTAAGTCTTCCGAGCCAGAGTCTTATGACATGATTYCAATAATATATCGAAAGATTCTTACTAGTTTTAAGTTTTCTGTTGCTCAGAGTTTGCTTCSAATTAATTTGTGTATAATATTTACGTCTTCCAGTGAAGGTACATAGAATAACAAAGTGTTTGTATTGATGYTGTTATGCATTCCTTTACCGCTGTTTTATTCTTATTAATATTTTKACTCTGAAATGAGACTAGCCCTGATTAAATATTCAAAGGGTAACGCGTTCAGTCTTGTACAAATTCGAAAATGATCGTTTTTTTATTCGAAGAGGGGAAAGGTGGAGAACTCGAGGAGATCCCGAGAGGGAGATAAAGAAAGATCGGGAGGGGGAATAACGAGGGTGGAAGAAAGAAAACGCTATTAGTCTAAACCTACCGATGGTCTAACATCAAAAATCCCGCGCTCTAATAGTCTATTATGGAATGGAAGGCAATGGAAGGCAAAAGTGCCGGTTTTGTAAAACAAAAAAATATGGCGCCCTGCAATTTCAACCTAATTTGAAAATCGTTTGTATCCATTTTTTGTCCGATTAGTAAGCAAGTAAGCCGCGTTACCTCGCTAGCTAGCTAATAAGAGACCATGTACGAGCAAGCAAGCAAGCAGGGAAAACGACTCTTAGACTAATGAATCTAGTGTATAATACTTTTCGTTCATTTATATTTATTCGTTTTTATATCCTAATTAAACTCTTCGGTTAACATAATGTTTTAAATTCAAGCATTTTTTCCCATGTATTCTTTTGCCATAAATGCTCTAGTACGTCTGTCCTTTAGGAGTTCTTGACGGGGATTTTCACCGTCACCTACGAAAAAAGCAAAATAGAGGGTGAGACGTGCGTAAAAATCAACTCCTAAATTTCACGTGGAGCTGAGTAGTTTCTCGTTAACGTAAAAAAAAAAAAACCGGTCTCACTAGTCATTGTCGTGATGATGCACGTACTAATTGTGCGAAAGGTCGGCTTATAAAATTTGTATTAATTTATGTGGAAGAAATATATTCTATATATATCCTTATAAACTCAATGTTATTTGACAATTATTTTCTGAAGGCGAAGTGAATATCGGGGAATATTTACCGAGACGCGAGTCTTCGAGCGATAACTATAACCAATATTCATTGAGCCTGAGGCGAATAATTGTTTTAGTATTTTTAACACAAGTGAATTAGTAATGAATAACAGAGAAATACTTTTTTTGTTCAAATTTTATTTATCTCTGCAGCCTGTAGGTGAATACAGTCAATTCAAAAAATGTTGTCGTCGACAAACTCAAGCCTACGCGACTGGACCGAAAGGAACTCTGGGTAGTAGTCATTGAAGCCGAGTTGTTCTGACTAGTTATGCCTGGTTTACAGCACGAACCTTCGTAGGCGAGCAGGAAGTGTTGAAGGAGACGTTTTTTTAATGCCTTCATATTTTCGGAATYATGAACTGAATCATAACTACTTTGTTTTTCTTTCCCTAAACCCAAAGACATGCATTTGATGGATTGTTTCTSGCCATTATTATCTTATTACTAGCGGGAACAGTTAATTCAGAACGAATATTTAACCGCTTCAGTGATTTTTACCCATATATCTTTCGGTCCAGTCGCGTAGGCTTGAGMCGGTCGACGACAACGTTTTTTGAATTGACTGTATAACAGCATAAGACGTAAATTGTGACCAATCAGCGCGCCGGATTTATTATATTCACTTGTCTAAAAATACTAAAATGTTTTATTCTTACCGTTTTGACCTCAGTGAACGATTCTAGGCAACTTTCTCCCCTGAAACAAAATAATATGTTTGACATCAGACGAAATCCAGCAACAATACGTTCTGCGGGACTGATCATGAACAGCAATGGAGAAGCCGCAAACAATTTTCGTATTGCGCCGTTTTCGTGTGACTGTGAAAAGCTTAGAACCAAATGCATRCCTTGCAGTATCAACGATCTTTTCTAGAATTTTGTTGGCTGATTTTTTTCTTGAGCGATGTAATGTCTGCCAGTGCAGTGACATTGGCGTGACTGTGTCCGTGTAAATCCTCGCGCAATGTGATTGGTCTGGCAGTGCCTAGATCTTGCCGTGACTATGTCCGCGCCCTGTTCATTCCGTTTGTTGGGGGGTGGGGGGGGGGGGGTATTTGATTGCTGTGCCTGTACCTATCTTCCTCGCGCCTAAATGGCACAAAGGGCCTCCTGGTATTTGATTTCATGGAGAGTAAATTTTCGCGCAATGTGATTGGTCTGGCGTATGCCTTGCCGTTTCACGACCGTGTTCATACCGCGAGCTTTTTACAGTCATACGAAAACGTCTTGATATAAACACTTACCACTCGCGTCCAAAGCCTGACTGCTTGTATCCACCAAAAGGAGTCTGACACGCGACRGCGAGGAAGCAGTTAACCCTTTATCATGCAAAGAAAAAAAAAGAGTTTTCAAACTTATTGTCTATGACGTCTATAGGCTTGGAAGGAGCCAATATTTGCTCGCCACTCACGACGGGGGTCTTAGGTTTGATTCCTGGACTCGGCATCACTTGTGAGCTCGTAGAGTTTGTTTCTTTACCTCTTCCTTGAGCTTTGTCTTTTTTTTTCTAAGAGTTTTTTTCTCTAAATTTTATCCCTTCGTTGACTTAGATCAGCCTAGGAGTTGTTACAGTGCTCAATCCGTGAGTTAGCCATGCCCTGACTTAGATCAGCCCAGAGGTTGTTTCAGGGTTCAACTGTGAGTTAGCCATGCCCTGACTTAGATCAGCCCAGAGGTTGTTTCA